AATTGATTTAAAATTTTGCAGGTAGCTTTTTAATAGTAATAGGAATCTATAATAACAAATTCAACATAATAGCATTGTTTAAGTATATAGCCTATACATTCTTAAATCACCGTAAAACGCTTCCTTCGACGGAAAAATTATTTTTTACGACCTTGCGCAACGTGCAAGCGCGCGACGTGGACGTCGTTTCACGGAGAAGGAAGTCGACGCGATGCTCGAAAAAAATTTCCGCCATATTCAATAGGTTGATTCGACGCTTAGGATTCAGTGAGACACGGCACGTGTCGTAACGGTCGAATCGCGTCAGGATCGATTCGTGACCGGGACTGAGGTCACAGCCGTGATCGATGAAACACTCGACCGGTCGGTTCTCAACCCCTGAATATCAATTCCTCACGAGGGGTTGAATTCAACAGGTAACGCCCAGCGAGCTTCGACCGGCTCTCGTTTTCTTCACGATCCAATTAACGTAACGATCGGGACCGAACTTTGAGCCTTCTCCGTAGAATCTGGAACGTCGCGTGACGACCTCGTCGGAGGCGACTGCAGTACGAGTCTTCGGTCGTTCGATGAGCAAACAATGTCGAATGTACTTTAGACACGGTACACAAATTTGAGTAATCACGTTCCCGATATCGGAATCGTGATATCCCTGAGCGTTTACTACTCTCCGTCAAAATGTATGACGAATTATTACTCGGGAACTACTGTTGCGCTCGTTGACCGGATTCTCGTCGTTCGTATTCTAAGATCGATCACGCATGTAATGTCTTTTATTGCGGTTTGACAGAGCGACTACGGAGCATAAAGGTTTTAACGTTATTAGCAAACGTTATTCGCCTCGTTATCGAATTATGGTGCTGAGCCGACGCTCGCAAAGCGTAACGATCGACGCTAACGAATCTCAAAGGGTTCTACGTCTCAAAGCCGGAGCTGCTCTTACGTCCGTACGCGTGTAAGGATCGAAGGAGGAACTCCGCCTTCTCCAGGAATTTATTTTGGATCAATTCGTTCCGGGCAGATATCGTCGTCTTATTTTTAGATCTAGACTTAAAAAGGATTCTCGTTCTTAATCAGCCGCCTCCGGTGAGCAAACGTTGGTCCCATGAATATTCGCGATCGTTGTTTCCGGATGATCCAGAAGAAACAAGAGGAAACCGTAAATTCAGTCGTCGACCGAACGAAAGTTGCGTTAGAAAAGGAAATCTAATCTTTTTCCAAGACGTCTCGCAAGACTCTCCCGTTTCGTTGAAAGTGAAATGGAAATGGTCAGTGTACACCCGAGGAGTGTTCCGGTGTACAGCCCCGGGTTACGCGATACCGTGCAGACTCGTGCAAAAAACGTCACCTGGGCCCGATCTCGCGTTACCCGCGTTCCGTCCAGCCACGCCACTTTTAATCTGAGACACCCGGCATCGTTCATGAATGTTGCTCGACAACGATAACGGTTACTAAACGATTTCCACGGAAGATCTCGATATCCGTGTAATTTAATTAAAAACTCATTATGTCCCTGTATATTTTTTTCGACGTTTCTGTACGGGAACGATTTTCGTTATGTCGGAAAATAGAAGGCTACGTCCCTGTTCGTTGGAAATAACAGGATAAAGTCTATTGGAATTGTGAGGCCGATTCGACTTAATCGGGGAGATCATCGGTGCGAGACGGAAGTCAAACAAAAGGGTTACGTTTCAGCAAATACACCGTCGCACGAACGAACTGTTCTCTTTCCGATCGTAGTTTCACGTGCGGAACATCCGTTCCCTCGCGCGGTATCACGCTCACGAGAATTCTATCGAAGAATCTGTCGGACCCACCTACTCGGTAATTAAGAGTTCGTATTCGCGCGAGAGAGCGAGCGTCGACCCGATTCGACGCTGCAACGCGGTGCTTCGAACCGGCGACGGTCGTGAAAGCGCGATGTGATTAGCGAGGTGATGATCATTTCGATTAGCGAAATCCGGAGTAATCGTCTCGGCACAGTGATACGCGTTGACGAAGAAGCTATCTAGAAGAAATTGTCTAATTTTACTCGGTCGTTCGATTCCAGAGAAATGTTACTGAGTCAACGAGCGAGTTCATCCACGAAGAGGCGACCAGCATGGTAGCGCGAGATGTCGTCGACGAGCGGTTCGACGGATACCCGACGATTCCCAAAACGTCGGCGGATTCCCCGAGGAAGGAGTCACCGGACCGTCCCGGACATCCCCGAGGAATCCCTGGACTGCGGGAGGACGATCGACCGAAATCTATTCCGGCTGCTGGAAAGCCGAGTCGACCTCCCCCGCAGCGGGAACGGAGTCCCGCAGGGACGAAAAGGTGAGCGAAAGGGTTCAAAAGTTTGTTTCACGAAAATATCTTCCTCGAGTATTCTGAAGATCGGTGACAGAGAAACCCTGAAGATCGGTGACAGAGACTCGTTGGTAAACGTTTGACGAACCGATTTCAATTAAAGTCGAGAGAAGTTTCGAGTAGATACGAATTGAATCAACGCTGACTCCGCGTAACGCTTTTGTGCGTCGGACGAAGTTACCGTTCGCATACTATCAAGGAAAATTTGTCGTAGACCCACGAGCGGCAGTAGGCCACGGTCCCCGGAAAAGACTCGCGATTACGTCGCCCCGAAGAAGCCGTTACCCGCGGCGGGGAAACCGAGTCGCCCGGAGGAGAGGCCTGGCAAGGCGCCACGACCCGAGGAAACGACGACCGATGGACAGCCTGGTAGATTCGAAGAGAGGCCGAGGAAGGGAGATCAAACGCCTGACTCTCTCGACGATGACGATACTCAGGCTGCGAGATTCCCCGATGTACTGTCAAAGATACCTCTCAAGGAACAGTGCATCTGCGAACTGTGCACCTGCGGGTAAGCGACTGATTCCTTCGATTCTATCTTTTTATTTGTTGATTTTTGAAAACAACGTTGTAAATCGTGACTCCGACGGGGAAAATCGATTTTCACGCCGTTCGTGCGTACCACTTCTTTAGACATCGATCAAAGTCTCTATCGATATCGAACGAAAGTCGCAGTGAAATCTCGATCCTGTCGAGAGTATACCGAGTATGGCCTCGTGCCCTGTTGCGAAACGACTTGTAAGTATGTACATACGCACCGTGCACGCGAAGGGAGCTCACGAGTGAAAAGTAGGACACCAGACCTCAGCCCTTTTACGGGTGCTCGTTCTTGACCAATCGCGGCCGCTTTCCTCGCGTCTCTTCCTTATCGGAACGAGCGCGCGTCCTCCCGCGGCAAGGTGATCGTCTGCTCAAATTTAAGGTGATCCACTCGGCATTGTTCGTTTCGGTAAAAATCAAGGACCCGGTGTGTGACGCGATCGTTCTAGCTGAGCCGATTCATGGTTTAATCGAGTCGAGGACGAGAGGGAGATGCATCAATTGGGTCAAGATGATCTTCGATCGAATCGCCTTGACTTCGGCTGATGTTAATCGCCTGAGATACGACCCTTCGGCTCTTTAAAATGAACGTGACCGTTTTAAAAATGCTGGCTCATCGACCGACTTTTTCCCCGTCGAGTATCGACGTTCAGCGAACGTAAACAGCGTTAATACGTTCATCGTAAATTGCGCCGTCGAACGCGATGCAGGCCCTGGCTGGATCGAAATGCTCGACCCAGACCGAAGCGGACGCTACCGGAAGAGATCGCGGAAAATTGATTCGCGACTCTGTGATCGACGACTCGACGGTCTCCCACGTGAAGCAGTCGATTGCTCATTCGATATTACATGCTGAGACCCGAATCTTCCACGCCCGATTCGAACACCTGGCGCATCGATTCGACGATTACTCGGGGCGTTGCGGGGATCGTTCGCGAACGGATTCGGACATCTGAACATCGCTGTTTTTTAATTTCGAATAAAACCCGATATCCCCGATAGTGAAATAACATATCGCTGGACGTCGAAACCAAAATAAACTGTCGGTCGTTCTGCATTGAAATCTGGTCGACTGTCGTTTTTCTCCGTTTTTCTCTTGCGGTACGATGCAATCCAATCGATGGAGGACGCTTGCGAAATTTTCCTTTGACAAGTTTTCAATTTCCAAATGGATCACGGGTTTTCACAGTACGAATAAGATTTGCGGTCAGAAATGATTCCAGCTTCGAACGAAGTGGAAAACGGAGATTGTTTCGAATTTAAAAAATGCGATTCGAGAATCGTTGTCAACATTCGTGAAACGAAACCACGCGCGTCGAAGTCCGCGAGATAACGCATTTTAACGTTATTCGACCTCTATCAATCTTGTCACTGATATTAAACTCTCGCCGGAGGCAGGCTGACATTTTGACGGTCCATGCTCTTCTTAATTGACACAGGGTCTATGATATTGTTCGTTGGATCGCGTGTATCGACGTTACCTCGGCTGCTTAATTGCCAATTACAGCGCACCGCGAACGATAAATAATAGGGAAGAGTTAAATGTTCGAGAATGGAACGAAAAAAATGATTCTAGTCTCGATTCGAATTCGGACATCGAATCGAGTCAATCCTGTGACAATTGCCGAACCACTTATTTCTAATTCTGCGTTTCCTCGTGATAAATGCACCGAGCGACAGAGTCAACGTTTGAATCACTATTTTTCGAGTAATAACACGAGCAAAACGTTTCAATTAGTTAGCCGGTGCACGGTGCACGCATCGGATCTGACGAAACACGATCGTAGAACACGGCGAAACATGCAACTCCGTGCACACGACACAATCACGTGCGTGACTGCACTGACGTGCACGGCTATTACCGGTCAATTTATCAATGGGTCGACACAACGCTGCCCGTCAGCCACCGACTGGACTTGCATGAATATTCGCCCGATTCAGAACCCGATGTCCAATTAGGATTTCGTTCGGACGTACAATCAATCGTTGCAACCACCCTCCGCTCCCCGCGGAGCTAAACTGCGATTACGCCTCCGCGGGTCGATTCAATGAGCCCAACTATGAATTAAAAACTTCTGACGGTAGAAACGAAATTCTTATTCGCAGGAGACATCGTTGTCCTCACGATCTCCCCCAGGATCATCTGGAGATCCCGCGGGAACCGGTGCACGCGGTCACCTCTTATCGCGAGGAATTTGACGAGAAACGCGTCGACAGGCAAACGGTTTATCGTCATGAGGACCACCTTCGGATGGAAGGGGAATTCGTCGGCGAGAGGCGAACGGATTTCATCGCGACTAAGGGCGAAAGGGCGCCGGTGAGAAGACCGGAGGACAATCTCAAGCCCGAAGGTGAGTTTCTGGGCAGACCGAAAGAAGAAGCGCCGAAACATGGGGACAGAGCACCGGTCAGAAGACCACGAGATAATCTCAGACCGGAGGGCGAATTCGATGGTGAGTCGGTTGATCGACATGGAGAACGTCGACCCTTTATTGAATCGCTTCCATTTTTTTACAGGTACGACTACCACGGAGCTTTTTTACACCGGAACACCCGGCGAACGACCTGAACCGGTGCGTCGTAATACCTATACGAAGGTCGAAGGAGAATTCTTCGATGCCACCACGACGAGATCCGAGTACGTCGATCATCAGACTGTACAACGAGCCGAGATCGTTAAACGTACGGACAACCTCACGGTGGGAGAGGGTGAATTCACGGTAAATGCACTCGCTTAGTCGTTCATTAAAAATTTGAATCTTAACTCGGAACTGACCCGATTGAATCGATTAAAAACGATCGTTGGTCCAATTATGCTTATCTCGAGTCGTTTACCGATGCTTCAGGGTACCTCTCGTATCAAGGAGGACTTCCACACCTACGATGTCGTCGCGAGGGAGCCTCGACGACGACTTACTTATACCGAGGAGGACGACTATCGGTTCTACGATAAAACTGACATCATGGAAAGCACCACGACCACCCAGGAGGAATATCGCAGTTTCGACCAGACGGATTACAGAAGCACTGCCGTGATCAGACGGGATGACAACTTGAAAATCGAGGGACCGTTCGATGGTGTGCCCCAAACGAAAGACGATTACATCGTGCCGGCGATAACTAGGAGACCGGAACCGCAGAGGCCTAAGGACAACTTGAAACCGGAAGGTCCGTTCGAAGGAAGGCCCAAAGACGATTACAAACCGACTAGAGGAGAAAGAGCTGACGTTAAAAGACCGGAGGATAACTTGAGACCCGAAGGACCGTTCGAGGGACGACCAAAGGATGACTTTTCTCCGAAGAGAGCCGAACGTCCCGAAGTTAAGAGACCTCAGGACAATCTGAGACCGGAGGGACCGTTCGAAGGAAGGCCAAAAGATGATTACAAACCAACCAGAGGCGAGAGAGCTGACGTGAAACGACCTGAGGACAACTTGAGACCGGAGGGACCCTTCGAAGGAAGGCCAAAAGACGATTACAAACCGACTAGAGGAGAACGGGCTGACGTTAAAAGACCGGAGGACAACTTGAGACCCGAAGGACCGTTCGAGGGACGACCGAAAGATGACTTCTCTCCGAAGAGAGCCGAACGTCCCGAAGTAAAGAGACCTCAGGATAATTTGTATCCCGAAGGTGACTTCGAGAGGCCAGAGAAGCCGGTGTTTGGTCCTGTGGAAAGGCGCACGCCGATCAAACACGCTGACAATCTTCGTCCCGAAGGAGACTTCGATCGACCTGATCGCGAAGAGTACCGGCCAGCGGAGAGGCCCGAGGTAAAGAAGCCTAAAGATAATTTAAGACCAGAAGGCGACTTTGAACGTCCTTCGCCCGAGAAGTTCGGCCCCTCGGAACGTCGAACGCCTATCAAGCATCCGGATAATTTAAAGCCCGAAGGAGAATTCGTCGGAAGGCCGAAGGACGACTTTACTCCCACGAAGGGCGACAGGGCGGTCGTTAAAAGGCCGGAGGACAATCTGAGACCGGAAGGTACGTTCGAAGGCCGTCCAAAGGATGACTATGGACCGGTACGCGGAGAACGAGTCGACGTTGTTAAGAGAACGGATAATCTCCGAATGGAGGGACAGATAGAGACGTATAGATCCAGAGACGAATATACGGAATTCCTGATTCACGAGAGAGCAGAGGTGACGAAGTACCAAGATAATTTGCGTATGGAAGGAGAATTCGTCGATATGAGAACCAGGGATGATTACAAGGTAGTGAAAGGCGAAAGGGTCGAGACGATCAGACATCCCGACAATCTAAAACCGGAGGGTCCGTTCGAAGGCCGCCCTAAGGACGACTACGTTCCGAAACGCGGTGAGAGAGCAGAAATTAAGAAACCGGAAGATAACTTAAAACCAGAAGGAGAATTTATCGGCAGACCTAAAGAAGAAGCGCCTAAGCACGGTGAAAGATCTCCGGTGAAGAAGCCGAAAGACAATCTGCGACCCGAGGGAGAAATCGAAATCCCCGAGAAGCATGTCTTCGGTCCCGCAGAGAAAAGAACGCCTATCAAACACGCGGATAATTTGAAACCGGAAGGGGAATTCGAACGTCCTACACCAGAAGAATTTAGACCTGCCGAGAGACCTATCGTTAAGAGACCGACAGACAATCTGAAACCAGAAGGCGAATTCGAGTATCCGGAGAAGAAACCTGTTGGACCGAGTGAGCGACGTACTCCGATCAAGCACGCAGATAATTTGCGACCGGAAGGCGATTTCGAGAAACGCAAGCCGGACGAATTCAGACCGGCCGAGAAACCAGTCGTTAAGAGACCAGAGGACAATCTTTATCCGGAAGGTGAATTCGAATATCCGGAGAAAAAACCTGTCGGCCCAAGTGAGAGACGAACTCCGATCAAACACGCTGATAATTTACGTCCAGAAGGCGATTTCGAGAAACGCAAGCCGGACGAATTTAGGCCGGCCGAGAGACCAGTCGTTGTAAAGCCGCAAGACAATCTGAAACCCGAAGGAGAGTTCGTTGGACGTCCCAAAGAAGAGGCGCCGCGAAAGGGAGAACGTGCAGACGTTAAGAGGCCACAAGATAATCTCTATCCCGAAGGTGAATTCGATTATCCGGACAAGAAACCCGTCGGTCCTGGTGAACGACGAACTCCGATCAAACACGCAGACAACTTGCGACCGGAAGGCGATTTCGAGAAACGCAAGCCAGACGAATTCAGACCAGCCGAGAGACCAGTCGTTAAAAGACCAGAGGACAATCTCTATCCCGAAGGTGAATTCGACTATCCGGAGAAGAAACCTGTCGGTCCAGGTGAGAGACGAACTCCAATCAAACACGCAGACAGTTGACGTCCAGAAGGTGATTTCGAGAAACGTACGCCGGACGAATTCAGACCGGCTGAGAGACCAATCGTTAAAAGACCAGAGGACAATCTCTATCCCGAAGGTGAATTCGACTATCCGGAGAAGAAACCTGTCGGTCCAGGTGAGAGACGAACTCCAATCAAACACGCAGACAGTTGACGTCCAGAAGGTGATTTCGAGAAACGTACGCCGGACGAATTCAGACCGGCTGAGAGACCAATCGTTAAAAGACCAGAGGACAATCTCTATCCCGAAGGTGAATTCGACTATCCGGAGAAGAAACCTGTCGGTCCAGGTGAGAGACGAACTCCAATCAAACACGCAGACAGTTGACGTCCAGAAGGTGATTTCGAGAAACGTACGCCGGACGAATTCAGACCGGCTGAGAGACCAATCGTTAAAAGACCAGAGGACAATCTCTATCCCGAAGGTGAATTCGATTATCCGGAGAAGAAACCTGTTGGACCGAGTGAACGACGAACTCCGATCAAACATGCTGACAATTTACGTCCAGAAGGCGATTTCGAGAAACGCAAGCCGGACGAATTTAAACCGGCCGAGAGACCAATCGTTAAAAAACCAGAGGACAATCTCTATCCCGAAGGTGAATTCGAATATCCGGAGAAGAAACCCGTCGGCCCAGGTGAGAGACGAACTCCGATTAAGCATACTGACAATTTACGTCCAGAAGGCGATTTCGCGAAACGCAAGCCGGACGAATTCAGACCGGCCGAGAGACCAGTTGTTAAAAAACCAGAGGATAATCTTTACCCCGAGGGTGAATTTGAGTATCCAGAGAAGAAGCCTGTCGGTCCTGGTGAACGACGAACTCCGATCAAGCACGCAGACAACTTGCGACCGGAAGGCGATTTCGAGAAACGCAAGCCAGACGAATTCAGACCAGCCGAGAGACCAGTCGTTAAAAGACCAGAGGACAATCTCTATCCAGAAGGTGAATTCGAGTATCCAGACAAGAAACCCGTCGGTCCTGGTGAACGACGAACTCCGATCAAACACGAAGACAACTTGCGTCCAGAAGGCGATTTCGAGAGACGCAAGCCGGACGAATTCAGACCAGCCGAGAGACCAATCGTTAAAAGACCAGAGGACAATCTGTATCCCGAAGGTGAATTTGATTATCCGGAGAAAAAACCTGTCGGTCCAGGTGAGAGACGAACTCCGATCAAGCACGCTGACAATTTACGTCCAGAAGGCGATTTCGAGAAACGCAAGCCGGACGAATTTAAACCGGCCGAAAGACCAGTCGTTGTAAAACCGCGAGATAATTTGAAACCCGAAGGAGAGTTCGTTGGTCGTCCCAAGGAAGAGGCTCCGAAGCGTGGAGAACGTGCAGATGTTAAGAGGCCACAGGACAATCTCTATCCCGAAGGTGAATTCGAAATACCGGAGAAGAAGCCCGTCGGTCCCGGTGAGCGACGTACTCCGATCAAGCACGCAGATAATTTGCGACCGGAAGGTGATTTCGAGAGACGCAAACCGGACGAATTTACACCAGCCGAGAGACCAGTCGTTAAAAGGCCGCAAGATAATTTGAAACCCGAAGGAGACTTCGAGAGGCCCGAACCGAAAAAGATCGGTCCAGGGGAGAAGAGGACTCCCATTAAACATCCGGATAACTTGAAACCTGAAGGAGAGTTCGTCGGGAAACCGAAAGACGAAGCTCCGAAGCGTGGAGAACGCGCGGACGTGAAGAGACCGCGGGACAACTTGAAGCCCGAAGGTGATTTCGAAAGGCCTGAGAAGTCCCCGACTAAACCCGCTGAGAGGCGAACGCCGATCAAACATCCGGATAATTTAAGGCCCGAAGGAGAATTTGCTGGGAGACCGAAGGACGACTATAAGCCTGTTCGAGGCGAAAGAGCGGATGTTAAAAAACCGGAGGACAATCTCAGACCCGAGGGTCCGTTCGAGGGACGTCCGAAAGACGATTTCGTTCCTGTCCGTGGCGAGCGCGTAGACGTAGTGAAACGCGAAGACAATTTACGAATGGAAGGAAGCATGGAGACGTACAGGTCCAGAGACGAGTACACGGAGTTCACGACTCGGGAAAGGGCAGAGGTCACGAGGTATCGAGACAATTTGCGATTGGAGGGCGAGTTCACGGATACTAGAACGAGAGACGATTTCAAAGTAACGAAGGGTGAACGCGTCGAGATTGTGAGACATGAGGACAACTTGAGACCGGAAGGGCCGTTCGAAGCTCGTCCCAAGGACGATTATTCCCCGAAGAGAGCAGAAAGGCCGGAGATCAAGAGGCCCGAAGACAATCTTAAAACCGAGGGAGAGTTCGAGAGACCCGAGAAGAGACCCGTTGGTCCGGCCGAAAGACGTTCTCCTATCAAACACGACGATAATTTAAGACCGGAAGGTGAATTCATCGGAAGGCCGAAGGAGCCGGTACCGAAGAAGGGAGAAAGAGCGGACGTGAAGAGGCCTAAAGACAATTTGAAACCGGAAGGAACCTTCGAAAGGCCCGACAAGAAACCGGTTGGTCCCGCCGAGAGACGAAGTCCTATCAAACATCCGGACAATCTGAAGCCCGAGGGAGAATTCGTTGGTCGTCCCAGGGAAGAAGCTCCGTCGAAAGGGGAACGGGCGGACGTGACCAGACCAAAAGACAATCTACGCCTCGAAGGCGAGTTCCAAACACCGGAGAAGTCTCCAGTGGGTCCGGCAGAGAGGAGAACTCCCATCCGGCACGAAGACAACCTCCGCCCCGAAGGAGACTTCGTTGGCAGACCCAAGGACGATTTTACACCGAAGCGAGCCGATAGGCCTGTTCAGAAGAAGCCTAAGGACAATCTGAAGCCCGAGGGCGAGTTTATCGGTAAGCCTAAGGAGGATTACGTGCCGACGAAGGGCGAGAGGACGGAGATAGTCGTTCACAGGGATAATTTGAAAATGGAAGGCGACATCGACGTTCGTCGATCGCGGGACGATTACAAGACCGTGACCAAAATCGAACGCGTCGAAGTCGTGAAGCACGAGGATAATTTAAGGATGGAGGGTGAATTCGTAGATGTTCGAAGACGCGATGACTACGCAGTGACTCGCGGAGAACGCAGCGAGATCGTTAAGCACGAGGATCATCTCAGACTCGAAGGCGACTTCGAGGTTCCGGAGAAGAAACCCGTCGGTCCGGCGGAGAGGAGGACGCCCATCAAGCATCCTGATAATTTAAAACCCGAAGGGCAGTTCGCGCAACGGCCTAAGACGCCCACGCCGACCAAGGGCGATCGAGTTCCCGTAAAGAAACCGAGGGATAACTTGAAACCTGAAGGGGACTTCGAAAGACCGGTCAAATCTCCCGTTGGTCCGGCGGAGAGACGCACGCCTATTAAACATCCCGACAATTTACGTCCTGAAGGAGACTTCGCCGGACGACCGCGGCAGGACACGCCGACCAGAGGAGAACGCGCCGACGTGAAGAAGCCGAAGGACAATTTGCGTCCTGAGGGAGAGTTCACGAAGCGATCACCTCGGAAGGTCGGTCCAGCCGAGAAGCGAACGCCCATTCGTCACGAGGACAATCTTCATCCGGAAGGAGATATGTACATCGTGCCGAAGGACGACTTCACCCCGAAAAAAGGCGAACGTGCACCTGTTAAGAAGCCTCGGGACAATTTGAGGCCGGAAGGTGAAATGGACGTTAGTCCTAAGAACGATTACGGATACGTAAACGGTGAACGAATGGAACTGCGACGTCATGAAGATAATTTGAGAATGGAAGGAGAGATGGACGTTCGACGCTCGAGAGACGATTACAAGAAGATCACCAGAGTCGAACGAGTGAACGTTAAGAGGCACGAGGACAATTTGAAAATCGAAGGCGAATTCACAGACGTTCGTCGCAGAGACGATTACGTGCGAGTCATCGGCGAGCGCACGCCGGTCAAGAAACATCCCGATAATTTGCACCCGGAAGGGGACTTCGACAGACCGATCAAATCTCCCGGTGGTCCGGCGGAGAGACGCGCGCCTATTAGACATCCCGACAATTTGCACCCCGAAGGAGACTTCGAGAGACCCACGAAGTCTCCTCCGGGACCGGGTGAAAGAAGGTCGCCCATCAAACATCCTGATAATTTGAAATCGGAAGGAGAGTTCATAGGAAGATCCCGGAACGATTTCACGACAACGAGAACAGACAGGAGCGAAATTGTGCGCCGCGAGGACAATTTGAAAACGTCGGGCCAATTCCACGACGCGACTTCTCAAAGGTCCAGTTACACCGTGGTTCGTGGGGAACGGGCAGACATCAAAAGACACGAGGACAATCTGAAGATCAGCACAGACGCTATGGACACGAGGACGACGTCGAGAGAGATGTTCACTCCCACGAAGAAAGCGGACTCGCCTACTGGCAGAAACGCCAGCCGCAGATATCATACGGAATCTTCGATTTCTCTGGGCGACGACGTCTCTGCCGTGAGCATGACTTCTCAACGGAATTACGACACGTTCACGAAACGCACTGCCAAGGAAGTCGCTGCCAAAATCAGCAGTAGCACTAGCAACATGGAGTCTGACACCCGAAGAAGCGAGTCGAGAACTCTGGAGAACGGAACTACAGTCGCGAGGAAATCGACCGGAGAGAGAATCTCCTCTGCTCAGAATGTTCAGTACCAAGCTCATCGCGTTGCGCATGACGGTCCCGGTGGTCCTCACACGGACTCTGGGAAGACCGTAACGACCGTTTTCAGTGACGATCAACAGTCTCTGAACGAGCAACGTCATCATCGTCATCAACAGCAGAGAACGCATTCAAGCGAGCAGTATTCGAGATCTCAGAACGTGTCACGACGGATCATTGACGAGAGATCGACCTCGGACGTTCAGAATCATCAACAGAGACATCATCACCAGGAATCTAGTAAACGGGATTACGTGAACACTCAACACGTGGAATCTCGACAGAGTGCTACCAGGCAGAGGCAGCAACACGAACAGCATACTATTTCCAGTCAATCTCGGTACGATTCGAGTCAGGCGAGCAGCGCGGAGTTCAGACAAGCTATCAGCGGTCAATCGGTGGAAAGATCGCAGACGGACTCTCAAGTGAAGATCGGTCATCACAGGAAGAACGTGATCTCCTCGTCGGCGGACGTGACCAATTCGGTTCTCCACAGACGAGGAGCCACGTCGTCCTCCACGGAAGCGCTTCACACGATTTCGTCGACGGCCGCCGATCAGAAGAAGAGCATCTCGAACCTGGCGGAGACCGGCCGATACATCAGCAACTCCAGTCAGAGCAGCGACAGGCGCAGTCTGACCTCTTTGCATCGCAGCACTAAAGAGGGAAACCCTTGGGCGTCCTCGACCTACGAGCGGCCACAGAGGATTGTTAGACGGGACAATCTGACGGTCGGTGGAGGGAAATTCTATTCGCACAGCGAGGCGAAGAGCTATGGGAATTTTTCCAGCCAGAAGGTGGAACGCGTCCAGCGACACGCGAATGTGTCGCACATCAGTCTGGGAGATGGAACCGTGGTCAGCTCGAGCATGTACAAGAAGGAGTACGCCCCTAGACACAAGGGACCCTGTCCAGCTTCCCTGATCGAGGCGAAACAAACGCCTTTCAAACATACCAGAGACACGCCTAAGCACAAGTTCTACATGCCTGTCGTTTCGAATTAATCGACGGCCAGGTCATTCTTTCTGCCATATGCTATAACTTGTATGACTGTGATCACGATCCATGCTGATCGGAAACGAATCGATCTATCTCTAGCAAAAATCCCTTCATTTGAGAACAAGATATTTCGCATTTCCATCGAATCGGTAGAGCCTATAAAAAATCACAAGCCGTGATGGTGTTTATTTTACAGAGGATCGCTTTCGTCGATGCTCGGATGCGGCGAGCTACGCGATCGAGCTTACGCTCATATCGCGCAGACGAAAGTAATGATTTATGTTCGCATTAAACCACGTGTATTACAAAGCAATAACTAGAGCTTAAATCCGTGATACCGACGAATCCTTGGATTCGATCGATGATAATTAGAATAGGATCTCCCTCCTTGATCAGCTACGTTTAACTCTTTCTTCTCGTTTATTAACTACGTTATCGAAGATTTAACACGATATATGTTAACCCGTATCGCCGTTCCGTGTAGGAACGTATTATCGTTTATTTTGTTTTGCCCTTTTGTATTTTTTTCATTCGTTCGCTAACGAAGAATAAAGATGATTTATCCAGTCTTTTTGTTTCCCATTATTTCCCTCTTTCGTTAACGAGACCAAGTGCTGTTCATAGATGAATGTGAACAACGAGAGCTCCATGGACTCGACGGTTCTTTTATTTTTATCGATCTGTTACTAACCGTAGATTAAGGATCACGACTCGAATATGTACGCTAGATTTACGTATCGTCGAGTGGAAGATTACTAACGAAAATTATCACGCTGGCACTTACAGCGTCGATGTAAATACGTATCCTGGAAAATTCAACGACCCCTCGCACCAGTTACGAAGTTAGAAAAGTTTTGTACAGAGAAGATTGATGAGGAACGTCTCTCGATCGAAACACCTATATATGTACATACGTCTGTTTATGCTGTCATCGTGCGTAGATAATAAACGAAGTATTTTGTGTATCATCGTTTACTCTTTCCCGCATACCTCGCTCCCTGAAACGTCTACGACGCCTACGACCTGATCCACTGAACACGACGGTAGATCGAAATTTAAAAATTGAATTACCATGACTACGCGAGCACGCGTAACAAACGCAGAAATTTTGTATCGAACTCGATTCGATGCTTCGATGCTCCATGTTCACTCAGCTCATAAATTTCGTTCAAAATCAGTCATCAAAATATGAACGCAACTCGCACGTCCGTCCACTCGTACTACGGAAATCTGAATTACGATGCCACCGTTTGATGCGTGACACCATGAACGAACGATTCCGGCTGAATTACGGTCGTGTAATCGTCCTCACGGTATTACTTCACTCGTTCGTTTCGCACTGTCACTCGGAACCACTGAAAGACACCACCAGGTACGACCTCACGTTCTTTCTTTCCTTTCGATTCGGGGAGGCCGTCGTTCTTTAAAAATCTTCTCACGCAAAAATCGACTTCGTATTTCTGTTCCCTTCGTCCCAGTAATTTAGAGGGAAGCGGATACGCAGCTACGGAGCAACGCGGCAAGTTGGATCCTTCCATAGAGCAAATTTTCCGAGGCCCCGCCGAAAGGAGAAGCATCTCTAAATCGACCGAGACTCTCGGGGCTAAACTCGAGGGTACTCCGAAACGTGCGAAGCGCGAGACGGTCAAGAAGAACGAAATTTCAAAGAACGAGGCGAAGCGTTCGCTCAACAGAGACAAAGCCTCTTCGAGAACCGGTCGCTCGTCGAGAGACCTGCCGAAGCTACCGGATTACGAGGTTCCCGTCGATCAAGAGAAATCCGAGTACGCGGACGAGGCCGAGGACGAGGCAGCGAGCAAAGACGGTAAATACAAGGCGAGCGAATTTCGCGTCGGCGAGGACTCGGAAAGGTACATCGATCAGGAGGAGAGATCCAGCTTGTACGACGACTTCGAGGCGAAGGACGTGGTGAAAAGAGGGATCTCCGGTGCGGAGGACTATGAGGAAGCAGACGAGGACGTTGCTGATACCGCGGAAGAAGCCGCGGCTGAGGAACCGAACGCGTTCGAGGAGGTGAGCGACGAGAGGAAGGCTCGCAGCGACGTTCGGGTGAAGAGGGATCGCGACAATTCTAAAGAAGCGGTTGCCGGTAAAATGGACAACGCCGACGCTTCCAAAGACGCGAAAGCCGAAGAGTCGTTGAAGGACAAAGTCGACGGTCAATCGAACGTTCAGGAAAAAGAATCGAGCGATCAGACCGATCAGAAGAGAAACGTTCCCGAGAAGAACGACAACGCCGCTGCCAAGGGCGCCGAGCAGGAAACCGACTCGAAGCGATCCGCGAACGACGAGAACGCGAAACTAGAGAATCAGGAGAGCCAGCTGGCCGACGGGAAACGAGAGGCTGGTCTGTCGAACAAGGCCAACGACGTGGCCAGTGATTCTTCCAGTTTGAAAGTAGTCTCGAAAACGGACGAGTCGAAAGTCGCCGATGTTCCCGATCCAGGTGCAACGAAATCTGACGCTCCCGCACCCGTGGCGGAGACCGCGGCTGCGGAAGACGCGAACAAATTAGACTCGAAGAGCAACGATGCCGTGATGGACGCTGACTACGAGAAACGCGTCGAGGAGCAGATACAGAGAAAGATCGACTCGATCAAGGAGGAGATCAAGAGGGAAATCGCGGAGACTCAACGAATCAAAGAGATCGAGGAGAATAATGCCAAGTTCGACGAGTTACGCGAGCAGGAGGAGGACGACGAGGAAGCCGAGTCCTCCGAAGGGCGAGAGAGTCTCGCTAAGAGGTCCGTCAGGAACATGGGCAAGACGAATCAAGTGCGCGTCGACGAGAAGAGATCGATAAGGAGGAGGAAAAGACAGGGTGGTAGCGGCGGTGACTGCGGTCCAGAAAAAACGCAGGAGTCGAATACTAAGAAGTCTCGTCAGGCGAGGAAACGATCGGTCTTCACCACTGCAGCGAGGAAACGAGAGTCGCCTAAAGAGGTGTACCTGGTGCAGACCGATAAAAAGAAGAAGAGAAAACGAAGGTCGAAGAATTCGGCTCCTGCGCTGATTCCGGAACGGCGTAACGTGAAATTGGACGAGAGCGTGCCGGCGGATTTTGTGTTGGATTCTAGTTTTCGCGGGGAGAACGGAAAGGTGAAAGAGAAAAGGCAACCGTCGGTTTTCGCATAATTAAATCGTTTGATGATCACGCAGTCGAAGGCGAGCGAAGACGAGAGGGCGGTGGCGGAACAAGGAAAGAGATCCGGTTCCGTGGCTTCGTTGAACGACGAAGAAGTAATGGGACCGCTGGCCACGGAATACAGGGAAGCGTTCGGGGGCCTCAACTCGGAGCCCGGAGTGGCTCTAGCTAGATTTAAGAGAATCAAACGAGTCCTCGGGCCTCTGGCCTCGAGAACGTGAACGATAGATTTGTACGAAACTCCGCGAAATTTATAAACGGTGTCGCGCGACCGCGACGACGACCTGTAAAGATGTTTAATGGACAAAGAAACGATACCAGTGAGCAATAGGTGGTAGATCGATTAAGTTCGCGTAGAACATATGATATTTAAGTTTCTGTCGGTCGCACCAGCTGTCACGGTGCACGACGAACTTTAGGAAACAATGTCACTTCCGGGCCGGAAACGAAACGATTCGACGATACCCTGACTATTGTGCGACTTCTCAAAGATACTTTGTACGATAGTATTGTAAGTAATGGCGCAACGAGACGTGGAGCAATAAAATTAAAATTCATACATATAAATAATAGTTGCTTGAAAAGTTACCTGTGTACCGGTCCCCACGGCTGGCCGCTGGCTGCTGGGCACTTGAGAGTGGATTAAAGTGGAATTTGGATTGGTCGGAGGCTTTAGGTGGCAGGCACTGGACTGGAGGAATAGAAAGAATAAACGGTTAAGACAGGTGCCGAAGCAAACATAGACGGATTCGTAAGACGTTCAAGATTTAATAACAAAGATACGATTAAACACGAAGAAGACACATAGATCGTTAACCCTCTTTTTTGTGCGCTTACATTACGGGGGAGACTGACTTTTTTTTTCGGCTTAAACTCTTTCTCGGCAAGCGAGTCCCGCCGTCTCCTCTATCTCTGTACTCTATCATCATCCATATCTCTTTGTCACCGTTCTACTTTACAACAATATGAAACAATTATTTACACGTCGACGGGCAGAAGGACCACGGTTTTGTGTGAGTAAACTTGACGTTGAACGTGACGCGCGTGTATCGCGTGCGTGTGTGTGTATGTGTGTGTGTGTTTTTTAATTTACTCCTTTCTCGTACGTGCATCCGCGAGGATCTTGGACGCGCATTTCGTCTCCGGATCAAAGACGAGATCCTGCTACAAAAAATGATTACTCGCACGATCTCGATCTCGATCCGTTCGGTTCGTATTCACGCGAACGTAGGCTCTCTGAACAATTGAAAACGTAGATATATAGGCTCGAGGATTCGAACGATCCGATCGGTGAATTTATCACAGAGAAGTGCCGTGAAATTCGTTCGCGCGAATTCAAACGCTCGAACGACGAGATCCCCGGTTCTTTATATCTCTATCTACTGGATCCGAACCTGAACCTGGATGTCAACCAGGACGAAGTGGTCGTTCGAGCGTTACCACTTCGCTAGTGCGCGTCCCGAAACAAAAGGTTCCTGCCTCTCGTCTCTGAGACTTGTCCCGCGAATTGGTCATGCGAGAGCGTCTACCCCGATCTCGTTGATCAGATCATTACAGATTAGAGGTGAGAGAGATCAGTCTGCTGATCGAGAAGGCTCGTTGGTGAAACTGTTCAGGCACCGATCGATCGTTACAAAAGTTTGTCCGGACGCTCCGCGTTTTTTTCACTCCTTCCTCGTTTCCGACTCGCGACGCTACACTTTAATCGACAATTGACACGGTTGATCGACGATTTCTCGTGAACCGAGGAAGGGGTGGAAAGATCTCGGGGCGCGGTCGATGAAGATTCGCGTACACGACGAACGAGACGAGGCGAAGGAGAGCCTGGCAAAATTCGCAAATGAGAGAAATCGGATATCGTTCGATGCGGAGTCGTCATCGACGAATACTCTTGCTCGGTTATTTTGGTGCATGTCGATAGACTTTCTTTTTATTTAAAAAAATCGATGTCTGAGAAATGGTGTTCACAATAATATAGTACAACAACGTAACGGCATTACGGACTTAACGTATAGAATATATACATATATGTATGTATATACATGTCCATATACGTACACGTATATATGTATATACATATATGCGTAATATTTATAATGATATAAGTAATTCTCTTGACCACGACAGCATGGCTATGTACAAATATTACAATGGTCACCGTCGCTTCCGTTCCCTTCGTTACTCCTCTGAACGCGTCGTCTCCGCTTTTTCTACTCTCCTCTGTCTTCGTCATCGTCGCTCCGATTTTCGATTTTCCGTACCGACTCGTCGAACGGCGAATCTACGCGCGTTTGCCTTCTCCGACGGTCCCTCTTCTCAACGGGGAGAGGGACAGAGGGTCGTTTTATGCGTCGAGAGGAAAATGGAAAGAGTCGTGCAAATCAATTTGCCACGTTTCAATCGCGATCTCGAAACCGGAAGTCCTCGCTCAACCGTCCTATCTACACGTTCGTTGTCCTAGATTATGAAAGCTCTTGACGCAACGAGGATTAAAACATTCGCGAATCCTTCCGGTTACGAGGGCACTTCGTCGTTTCGTCGATTCGCGATTTTAAGTACTGCTACTCGAAAAGGAAATGAGAAGTTGCAAAAGGGTGACGCGAACTCGTGTAAAATTGACTATGAACATATCCGCCGATTCGCAGGAATCGACGGAACGTCGTCTTAATTAAAATCTACAGCGACGAACATTTTACTTTTGGCACCGTCTCTGGGCTACGTGAGACTTCCTTCACCGAATCGAAACCTCTTCTTGAACGTTCGTCGATCATCCCGTTGAACGTGGCCCGTCCCGATTAAAGTAAAAATATGCGTTCGCTGCTCAAAAGAGAAAAGCAAGTGTCCACGCCCCGAACGCTTCGCGGGTCTCGGGCCGACGTGTTTCGAAGATCCCGCGGTAGAAACTTCCGATGAAACATTTAACTGCACGTTAAAGTTGTATGAGCCTAAGATCTCTGCCAAAAGTTTAAGACATTTAATAAAAAGCTGCGTCCAGTATTTAAAACAAAGAACTTTTAGAAAAGATGATAATTACAGAGGAGTAAGGTTTATAAAATTGATCGACCTGTTTTCCTCGTTCGTAATTAATTTTTAACGCATAATTTCTAATATTCTAGTGTATAGTTTTGGCATTTTTTGATTGGACTATACGTGACTTACAACTGTCTACACGTTCTATAATTCGTACTTTTCCATAGTTTTTATTGTATATCTTAAATAATATCCTCGGAATAGACATTATTTCAAGTTTAAAATATTCTTAAATCATGTATTAAGAATTATACAAAATTACAAAATTCTCTCATTGTTGCATTTATATTTTTTTATAAATGAAATCAAGATTCTGTCATTCTACATAAGAATTCAAGATGTAATAACGTTTTTAATAGGCTCGCACAAATTTTTAAAATTTTGTACAATGTCTTATTAACGTTGTACCTAGTAACTGTTAAAATTTGAAACTTTTGTCATTGTTTTTATGTAAGGGTTCATACAACCTTAAACTCTCTTCGACTTCGAAACGGTCAGCCGTTGACGGGCGCGGTAATTAGGCAGTACACTCGGTATACGGCGTTAAGCATGGTTTCATCATCGATACTCTAGGCTGACGACGACGCGACGCAGTGTGAACCGGGAGATTGCTGTTGCGTGGAAAGAGGCGAGACCGGCGAAAGGTGTAAATTCTGAGAAATTCTCGATAAGTGTTACGTCGACTTCCCCGCAAAATTGAATTTTAATGCGACTCTGTGACAAACTTTCGGCAGTCCGATCTTTCGACTCCTAGGATGCGTGTATGCTTCGAACAAACGATTCACACAGACCAAACGGAGGCACTCGTACCGCGTTCGATCACCCCGCTACGTACGCACTTGTACGTATACGCTCATGAGCGTCGTTTCTATTTTCTGTCTCTCAATCACACATTATTATAACTTTAGTCGAGTAAGGCTAAATCCAATTAATTTAATTAGTCGACGTGTATTACGACGTACATACAGCGTATTACTTTCAAAAAACAATTGACGACCGACGAGGGTGCGTGGCTCGCGGTTTTATTTTATTATTATTATTCTTCTTCTTCTTCTTCCATCGCGCTCACATTTTTTCGCTTCGTTTAACGTCTGAGCCGACACGCTGCGAACGACGAAAACTTATCCGAACGCGAATCCCGCGCCCGAAAATCGAATGTACAAAAACAGAAACTATTTGGGACGCGATCGATAATTGGAAATTGAAACTTTCTGCTACGAAGTACAGGGAAACACGAAGAAACGTAGATGAGCGACGAGCGCTCGAAGGAAAAAACTTAAGAACGGAGATCTCTCAACGAAACACAATGCTTCCGACCGACGGTCGTCTCTCTCCTCTCTTACGGCTCATACCTCTACCCGTTTCTACAATTTCTGCTTTCCCCGTACGACAATCGAGGAGCATACCTACCCACGCATTCTCTATCGTAACACTTCTCTTCATCATCATCATCAGTTTTTTTTTATTTTTATTTTTCTAAACGTTAACTTCACCTAAACAGTATTTCATCTTTTTTTTTCATTTTTTATGTCGTTTTACCTTACTAGGATCGTATATGTCAAAAGCATGTATAAATCAGTAGACTTTTTTGTTTTGTGCTTCTTAGAGATCATACATGATACAATGTACAAAGTAGTATAAAATAAAAAAAGGGTTAATAAAGACTTGTATTTACTTAATCTTCAATTAACGTTTTATCACGAACGGGATTGTCCGTGCCGCTGGGCGACGACTCAAATTTCCAACGAGACTTTTCACCAATTTTTGTCTGTTCGATCGCACCGTTGGAAATCGATCGACGACACGCGGTCAATAGACTTGAAACTCGTCCCGTCAAACGTCCTGGTCCCGCATTAGAATGAATCGCGACACCAGGACGGATAAGAAATTCGTATTTCCTACGTAATTAATTATATAGTCATAATCGAAAATGAGTAATAAAAGTGTTCTCGCCTTCTTAAAGTCGATCCCGTCTAAAGTGGGCCTCCGCGCTCGGATCGGATATGACCATCGTTGGGTCGGTGAGCATCTGCAAACCGTCCATGTCGATCGGGTCCAGGCCCTGCCTGAGAGCGTCGTCCGACAAGAGGTCCGGGTCGAAACCGCCCATCATCGCCATCCCCAGGTCCTTCACCATTTCCGGATTCGTCAGGTCGTCCGCCCCGGAAAAGTCTGCGGAAATCAATTTTCCTCGATCGACACGACTTAAAATGACGCTTGCCGCGTTTTATCGCCCGATGAGCCCCCACGACTTTTATACGTAGATTCTGTTACAGCACGTGACAAACCGTTTTGAAGGTGAGCAGATAGAAAAGATGGGTACGCACCGGTGAGGATGATCGTCGGAGTGTTCGGCGTCTGCGGCGTCAGCTGTTGAGCGGAGGGGTTGTTATTCGTGGTGGTGGACGTGGTGGTAGGTTGATATGGCATTTGCGGACTCGTGCTGAAATAACCGGCGTCCCCACTGCCCAATTCACCCCCGACGTTTATCGTGTCGTTCTGCAAACAAATCCCCACCCATTCGAGATTTCACGCTGTCAGATACTCCGACGAAGGTGATATAAAATTCTCGTGCGAGACGAGAAAAAATTTTTGTACACACCTGCGTGTAATTGGTGGTGTGATTCGGCGAGCCCATGTACGATCCGATCATGTTAGCTGACACAGGTGTGTCCATCTGAAAAAAGGGGAACGAAAGACGAGTGAGCGATTGCGACGAATATTAGAGTTTTGCGCTCTTCGAAATTAGGACGCAGTGGAGAAGAGAAGGAGAGGAAAGGATGAAAGCGTTAAAGGAGCTGGTCGTTCACGGTGTACATGTTCGATCAGCTCGATTTCATGCGAGGGTCGAAGCGAATAAGGAGAATAAGGAAAAGGAGGGTGCGCGAACGAAGAGAGAGAAGGAGAAGAGCGCACGATCAGGGGTGATAAAAAGCGAGAGAAACAAAAGGCAGATCGAGTCGAAGCGGTTTGAATCGCCACCACGAGTATTCGACGGTGGACGATTCGTTCGAAATCGCGGGATTGGTCGTTACCGTTTCTCCTCCGCCCCCGCTCTCGTCTGCGTCGTAATCGTTTTATCAGCCTTTTGATCTCTCCCGATAATCGGGATCTCGAGGGGAACGGAGCCACGTCGAGAGCGTTTATCGTTTACTACTAATTTTTGGCTCCCTCGCTGAGTGGAACGGTTTCTATTATCCTGGTAGAAACGTCTCGGTACTTCTGTTTCGTCAGGGACACTAAATTCGTAGGTATACAGCGTCGTTTGCGAACAGGAATTTTCGCGTCAGGGCGCGTCATCATCCGTTCTTTACGAGCTCTCACGATATCCACCGTATAAAGCGTGCCGTGAATCATAGGTCGCGTAAATTTTGCCACGCGACTCGCGTTATCGCGGTGCTCAACGACGCTACCAACGGCCGACGGAGAATCGTAAAGGGAGAGTCGACGGTCTGAGAGCCGTCTCTCGTGTCGAGTCGCGGTGCCGTTGAACATCGGAGAACGCTTCTGGCGATCGCGAACATCGATCGGTCGATCGTCGTTTAAAAAAAGGAAAAGAAAATTGACGAAGAACAACGAATACGATCGACGGGGAAGTTGCGAGAAGAAAGTGGAAGCTCGACGTGTTCAGAGGGAGCGTGACAGAGAAGAGAGAAAATAGAATCGAATTCATTTATAGTTTTGCTAAGGGGTTTGTTTCACCTCTATCTGCGTGCTCCAGGTGCAACCAAGTTCCATGAGCTGCTGCGCGAATTTCGGCCAATCCTGACGGATGCGGGCAACAGATAAACATCAAGGCTTAACATTTCAATCGTATACGCACAAAACGAGACAGAATTTTTAAAAAGAGAGAGAAAGAGAGAGACAGAGAGAAACAGGAAGACGGGTATTTTGCAGGGATTCAAAGACAAGCTCTATTCGCATCGATCGGTGCTGGTTGCTCGAAACGAAGCGCGTGTTCGAACGAATTTACGATCTCGATGAAAGTACATGGACGATGCATGCAGGAAAGCTTTGGAAGCTCGAGTACTTCGTCCGAACGGAAAGTAGAAAAGCGGACGAAGCCGATCGAAACGAAGGATCGTCGTAGAACGGTGACTAACGACGCGCGACGGCTCATGGACGATTGACTCGCACGATTCCCGACCTTTTTCATCGACGGGATGCTCGCGCCAAAAGCGAGAGCGACGGAATAAATTCATGCCGAAATCGTGCGCATGGAATAATTCATGCGTCGCGAAGGCCGATCACCGTGGAACGTAAAAAAGAATAGATCCATGAGCCGTGATCGAACGAAACAGCGACGAACGCCAACGTGTCCGGCACGATGCGTTCGCGAGGCACCAAAAGAATCTCAAGAGAAGGAGACCGCGCGGTTCGGAAAGACGCGAGAGAAGATCCTGGACCGCGTCGTCATGCACGCCGGGAGACCGTGGGTAGTGAGAACCGATCGTAACGGGATTCGCTTCTACACGAAGGAACGTCCAAGATCATACGTACCCAACGGTATCCACAAACATTTCTACGGAAAGAGAAACGAAGAGGCTCGCGCGCGTACTTACCACTCCCTTCCGTATGCACAAACAGACAATTACGATCCGATTAAAAACGTGGTTCGTTCCTCCGGCGAGCGAATACGAATCTCGAGTAAAACGGATTTCTAAAGTCTACAGAGAGAGAGAGAGAGAGAGAGAGAAAGAGGGAAAGAAAGAGAGAGAGATAGATTCGTATCGATTCGGTTTTCGCGTTACTACCGATAAAAGGAACATGGGCAAGCCCGTCTTTCACGGGGCGATGCGCAACGCGGCGATGGCATATTACTTTCAGACTCTTGGAGATGCGGGAATCCCTTGAACGACGTTACGACTCCGTCGAGCGTGCGTCGCATCGGGATTCGTTTTTATCTGAGCTCGCGTCGTCTCAACGATTGAAGCGAGACGCAGCGACTGGATCGTTGCCAGAAGGAACAAGAGGGATCGGAAACGTGTCTGCTACTGACCATCGTGAACTGCTCGAAGTCCTGTTGAAGCGCCGCGGCGTTCAGGAAATAATTGTTCTGGTCGATGTTCTCCGTCGTGAGGTTCGGTGGCCCCGGGTGCCCCGTGGGACTGGGTGGCGCCGACGGGTTGTTGCTGTAACTTAACGGGCTGCCCTGCGATCGATGAGAAATGAATCGTCGCTGTTCTTTACCGAACAAACGATTATCCTATTTTTCCCTCTGTCGAGGATACTTACTTGAATCGTTATCCCGGGCGACGATTGCGGCGACGGCCTGTTTATCTGCTGCGACGACCTGTATGAGCCTAACGAGTTCAGATGCGGCTGAGGTTGCGTTTGCGACGTCTTCTATGAACAAACACACCTCGGTGTCTTAACTCGATACGAGCACCCGGTGCAATTTTAATTGCACGGTTCACCGTTTTCGACTCGACGTCGATTTTTACACGATACATTGCTAGTTCTAAATTTATGACGAACTTATTTCTCAATCTCGTTCTTTGAGTTGGATCTCGCGTACGAGGAAAACGCGCGTCTAGGCAACTACGATACGTCGTACTAACTGGACTTTGTGGTGGCACAGGACTGTGCGGTTGCTGATAAATGTAGTGGCCAGCCGGACCGTGCGACGTTGCCTGAGGTGGCTGAGGTGGCACCGGTTGTTGCGAATAGGTCTGAAGATCCTGTTGCGAAGTACTTGTGCTGTTTTCCAACGCCACGCCCTGTATGTGTCACAGGCATCGCGAATTAACGATCGACTTTTCTTTTAACACTTCCAAAGCTCGGCCGTTTCGCGCGAGACTCGCGCTTCAAATTTCTTCGAGCCACTGATTGCCGCCAAGCAGCATCATGCGCGTAGGAATCGACGAGGCGATCATCTCACTAATTTTGTGTCGTGAGACGATGCGGTAAACCGTGAGTCTCGATCGAACTGACGAACTGTCGTAAGCTCGATGCTACTGACAAGCGGAACTATGCTCCAGAGAGAGTGAGAGAGACAGAAAAAAAAACAGAACTGAACGGAAAGCTGATAAATGAAAATCGTCACTGACCTTACACGTGTGAAGGAACCTAGAGTTAACAGGCACTGATAAATGGTTCTGCAAAATAACAAACACAAACGAACGCTACAACAAAGGCAAAAGAAAAATGAAATCGAACGTAAAGGTAGCCGCGGTAAGCGTATAATTTCGCGTCGAAGCTAGCCGCTACGAATTTTTCTACACGTACACCGGGCAGCGGTGACTCATACGGGAAACGGGGAAAGGCTCGGCTCGTCGAATGCGTCCGTAGATTTGAAAATTTTCGTAATCCCGTGACGCAATTTAGAATACGCGTCTCGCGAGAGTACCTCGGCTCGTTACGCTTCCTCGCCACGGTGCATTAACGTTTTACAGCCACGAGACGTAGGATAAAATCGATGTTCAGCCGGGTCACGACTAATCTAGACCAGCGATTAACAAACTGTGCCCGAGATTGCACCATCGAAGAATAACGTAACGGCGCGGTGTCTATCGAAATTGTACGCCGCGGCGTGCCACAGTAATTGCCTTTCGAAGTAAAACGATTCTAACGGCCGATCGTTTCGTAACCGCGCAAAGTGGTCGGTCGCAGGAACCTTTTGGCGATCCGAGCTTCCTACGTTTCGTAAATAAATGCACTGCCATGGTCACGAGGCACAGAGAAGCATGGAACGTCTCTTCTTTCCATGCACCGCACATCCGGCTTCCGTTAGCTACGCGCAAACTCGACTGATCTAAAGTGCATGCATAAATCTGTGTGCGTCTCAAAAGATGCCACGACTCTCAAAACGATTTCTAATCCTACGCGAGAGGTACAACAGCCGCCGTGTCTCTCTGCTTTCTTCATTTTTCTCATTCTCGATCCGACGATCGGATATTCAGAGATTAAACGCGATCCTTTAACAGGTTCTCGCAGGTCAAAGCGAAAGACACCGCGCGTTGGGCAGCTAACAGGTGCAACGCAACGAACACAAGTTCAGATTTGCGGGATCGTCGCAGAGATATTTACTTGGACGGTGGCCTGATCCTGCGAGAAGGACGGCCTACCAGCTCGCGGCAAGCTGGTCGGCGACAGGTTCGCGGGACTGCTCGTTTCACGACTCTGGAATACACCGGGTGAACAGAACGTATCAATGAACCCCGCGACGAGACGATTGAGCGTCTGAGCGGCTACATCTGAGCACTCAGCTTTCTGCCACTTATCGTTAGACGCGACGCGACCAGGGGCGCGTGAGCATTCTTTCGTTGACCCGATATCTACGAGACGACACGACCGAACTTCTCACGCGTTTGCTCCCGGTACCAACGGAACTTCCGCACGATGCACGAGGACAGATCGGTTGATGAAAAATTTGAAGATCTACTGCAATTCTAATCGTACGAGGCGCGAGGAGGAACTACAGATCTCCGAACGGTCTAATGCGTAAATGGAGGAACAGATACTAAGTGGACACACTTACGTTGCTGAACGGCGTACCGCTCGAGTGATCCTCTTGATCCGGGAAGTGGACCAGGTCCGGCAACGACCGCGTATTGCCTATGGGAATTTGTTGTCCCGGCGGCTGAGAGCTGGGGTCTATGCTGCGAGGCAAACACGTGGTCTGATTCAGTATCGAGCAGTTCGATCAGAACCGCGAAACGCATTCATCGTAAAATCGACGAAAGGACTCGCGTTGTAGTTGTAGGCAAAATTTACAGCGACCGTTTTAAAATTGCACGTATAGATTCTGCACGCGCACAGGCATCGGTGCGTGCAGTGTAACGCAGAGAGAATACAATGAAACATCCGTGGACTACCCGCGGCGCATAAGTAATATGATACAGCCGGCTGCGGCGTGCGACCATGAATCACATTGCTACCGAAATGATTCGCGGTGTTCGCGAAAACTTCCGATCGAAGTCGACGAGAATCAAAAGGAGGTAAGGAGATGTCGCTCACTTGGTTCCAGGCACTCTAGGTATCTCGCAAGACGATTTTGGCCGTTTGATGAATCCGTAATGAAGGTCCCTGGCGTCGCTGCCGGATCCGCTCATCACGTGTTGATCTGTCACAGAAAATGATCACACGAAATCGTACGAGGAAAAGTTCGAACGCGATCCGTTGTGCGCGGGCAAGTGGTTTCGTTTCGTCTGATCGATGCCGATGCCAATTATCACTCGTCGCGTTCGGAAACTCGGTAATACACGAGGAGGACGCGACACGTATTTCCAAGGCAGAGGCGTCCGATTTCGTCGTCGAGAGCAACGTAATACCGTGTAATGCTAGTTGCTATAACGTTACTGCGGGTGTAATGTTTCAGTTCCGATCCCCTCGGTGTCGGTCGGCGCCAGATTAGGAGGGAATCACCGAAGCTGCGGGACGACCGAGCGACCGGAATCGGAAAACCTGCTGCCAGGGCCAATGACCCGCTCGTCGTCAACTTCCTCGACTCGTTCGACGTGAAGACGATTACGGCTCGCACTGCGTTAAAACGCATCGTGCATTCATGGTTACGCGTTTCCTTCGAATCGAAACGAGTCGGACGAGATGAGAAAAGAGCGCCGAACCGTGGCGCGACACGGTGGACCGGTGGACAGATCCACTTAGGCTCAATTAGCGTAACGACGTACATCGGTCTGACTGTCGCGACGAGATTTTTTATTTTCACTTGGAGATGGCCAATTTTTCGTTCATTTCGTACCGTCTACGGGTAGTAGAACTTCGCTCGTGCAAACTCGCCGACCGGAGCACAAATGAAACTTCATGATACGTAATTACCATGAAGAGAACTACGCGAACGAAGTTCTGCAGATCTAAAAGATGGAAAAAAGATATAGACCTGGGGTACCTCGCCGATGAGGGATAGCGTTGGCCGATTGACAGGCTTCGTTGGCGCTCTGATGAAGTGCCGAGTCCGAATTCGTCCTTCTCCAGGTGTCCGGTGGCGGAGGCGACAGGTACGGGACCCCGCTGTACGGAGACGTGTCGTGCCTCTTCTCCATCGGCCGCGGGCGCATCGGGCCGACCCCGACCACATTTCTACCCCTCTCGTTCCCGCGGTACACCATGGAATTGTGTTGCATCTCCTCCAGGTTGCTCAGCGCCGTCTGCGAACACCGATTCCCTTCAGTACAATCCGTTCGACCGACCAGACTACAGATCTCATGCATACAACATCAAAATATCATCGTTCCAAGAATAAATTCTAAAATCTATATTTATTTTTCTAAACCGCGTAGAAATTTACGATGTACAAGTGAAACACATTTCACGCTTTTCTCCTCAGCGAAAGTATGAAAATCGTCCCGTTCGAATTGTACGACGACCTCAGGTCACAATGCTGCGTCAGCACGTGTAAATGCACGTTCAGTTTCTAGCTCATAGATCTTTTAGATGTTACCGTGTTCTCAATCAGGATTCAAAGAAATGGATGTAAAAAATCTGTTTTCTCGGTCAGCCGCGCAGACCTTTAGACGTGACCTGATCGGGTCGGTGAGGCTCGGAGGAACCCATACTCCTTACTTGTCGAAGACGCATCGTGAAAGTTCTACCGCAGATCAGAGAGTACGAACAAAAAACGTAATGGTCGTTCTCATTATCATCGCGGTGTATATTGAACGTAACGCAGGCGTTCGTGCAAACAGCGCGGCGTTAACTACCGCGTGTCCTCCGGAGATAGGCGGAGCATGCGTCAAGGATCGCAAGGATCGGAACGATTCGAATCGGGACTGTAGGCGGTGCGATCGATTACGACGCTATAATTAAAGTATCCTTCGATGTTTCGTTCGGGAACTGACCGGAGCAACGTCACGCGTCGACGTTGAGGTGTCTGCTAGACAGACGGAGCGCGCGAGAAAGAGAACGACAGGCGGTTTACGATACAGCCAAGATAAAAACGATGCGACCGTGAACGTGTACGAGAAGTCGCCGTTGGCGTCGCTTCTTCAACTTCGACCTCTCGTCCCGGAGAGTAGAAGCCCGACGGCCTGACCCTGATTCGTAATTTACGTCTGTCCTGGATCGTCGTTCCGCCAGTCATCGACCGGAAACGTTCTCGGTATCGATCGGAACGAAGAACGAATCAGATTATCCTTGTTCGATGCGAGGGCGAAACGAGGATCGATCCTTCGTATCAAAATTCGTACTAGAAACTGTGTAGCAAATTATTAATTATAACGCTGGTTCCTAAACGGTAGGAGGCGGATTCTTGATCCGAGAGAACGTCTCTGAGACTTTGAGAGGAGACGCATTGTCATCGACGGAAAGATTACCTTCCCGTGTCTCTCCAATTTTAGCGCCGCGGGAATCGGCATGGCATAACGATGTATTTTTAGTCCGTGCACAGTGCATCGCATTGTAACGCGGTTCGTGACGACGCAACGACACGGCGCACGTTCGCAGGCCACGCCGTAAACACGACACGCGCCAGGTATGCGAGCTCGGCGAGTGGAGCGAAGCTCATTCATCCCAGACTCCCACACGTTTATTTATATATCGCTGGTGGTCGAATCAGGATTCGGTGGACGCCGAAGAGTCTGACATCGATCGACGGAGTCACGACCGTTCCAGTTCCGAGTTCGTACGTTCCTTCCGTGTATCGTTCGAGATGATGTCTCCGACGTACGCAGTGCGACACGATCGAGTCGTCGAACACCGAGGAACAAGCTCAAACCGATGCACCTGTGCGCTTCATAAACTGACATCGTGCGACGTCGCGAGACATCGAATTCGCTCGGCGCCGGTCACGATTCCTCTGCGAACGCGAAACGGAAGAGGCATTTCTCTGCCTCCAGAAACTCTTCTCATTGAGCATTCTTCCACAACGATCTCGACCTCCAGAAACGATTCCGATCACCATACGCGAACCGTCATGTGCGATTTTTGTGAGCGCGCGATCCCCGACTCGATGCGAGACACGACGGGACGAGCGAACCGTCTCACCCGAGAAACGAATCGAGCCAATCGGTACGCACCGGTAGGAAATCTCCTTTTATCAGTCGCGATCGGTACGCCGCATCGTATAAGCGTTTACAAAAAGGCGGACGATCGACTCGTCGTCGGCTCGGAGGAACGTTTATACGCGTCGTCGAGATATTCTGCGAATGAAATTCTGCTCTGCTCGCCATGTGTCGCCCCGACGCAGCGGTTCACACGGCTGTTACCTAATATCTGTTGAATCGTGCGATACGCGCGGAGCTCCCACGGTTTTGGTTCACGGACGACGCGCAATTCGGGCTTTCCGAGAGTCTCGTTCTGGAAATCGTAATTTCCCTCGTGTTCGCGTGCCACTGGGATCGATCCGTGAATCGCTTAGCCGACGAAGATTGGACAACTTCCAAAGGGAATAATTTACTGGCACCGAGAAGAACGTTACACGGTCGTCCGGTATCAGCGGAACCGATGCCCGGGCGCGATCACGAAGATGCTTCGAGAGACTCACGTACGCCGATACTAGTTCGCGTTTTCGCGACGTGGGTCACGTTTCTTCGTGCGCTATTTTCTTTTCCATAAATGCATAAACATGCTACATTAATAATAGCGCGACGTCGTCTCTCTCGTTCGAACGAAACTGACGAGTAAACCGCGAACTCGACGCGTTCGTCATGAATGAATAATACGAACAAATCCCGACGTACGACTCATTCTTTTTAATCAACAAAAAAGCGATAAATTCGTGGTCGATGGTTCGGTGCTTGCACTTTGTCGCGTTCAATTTCGTACCGATTCAGAAGAAACGCGAAGTGGTTTCACGTCAGAAGCGACACACCGATCGATGTGTTCAGTCGCTCGTCGGTTCGACGCATTCTCCTGCTAGGTGCACGCAAATTCGATCGTGAATGAAACTCGATTACCGTCCACGATGCAAGAACGCATTTAGGTCTCGATCAGGGAAAGGGAGAGAGCACCTATGCCACTCCTATTGCATTACCGTGTTCCATCATAGGCAAATTTCCAAAGTAAATTGCCAGACCGTAGAGTGTAGATCNGTGTACGAGAAGTCGCCGTTGGCGTCGCTTCTTCAACTTCGACCTCTCGTCCCGGAGAGTAGAAGCCCGACGGCCTGACCCTGATTCGTAATTTACGTCTGTCCTGGATCGTCGTTCCGCCAGTCATCGACCGGAAACGTTCTCGGTATCGATCGGAACGAAGAACGAATCAGATTATCCTTGTTCGATGCGAGGGCGAAACGAGGATCGATCCTTCGTATCAAAATTCGTACTAGAAACTGTGTAGCAAATTATTAATTATAACGCTGGTTCCTAAACGGTAGGAGGCGGATTCTTGATCCGAGAGAACGTCTCTGAGACTTTGAGAGGAGACGCATTGTCATCGACGGAAAGATTACCTTCCCGTGTCTCTCCAATTTTAGCGCCGCGGGAATCGGCATGGCATAACGATGTATTTTTAGTCCGTGCACAGTGCATCGCATTGTAACGCGGTTCGTGACGACGCAACGACACGGCGCACGTTCGCAGGCCACGCCGTAAACACGACACGCGCCAGGTATGCGAGCTCGGCGAGTGGAGCGAAGCTCATTCATCCCAGACTCCCACACGTTTATTTATATATCGCTGGTGGTCGAATCAGGATTCGGTGGACGCCGAAGAGTCTGACATCGATCGACGGAGTCACGACCGTTCCAGTTCCGAGTTCGTACGTTCCTTCCGTGTATCGTTCGAGATGATGTCTCCGACGTACGCAGTGCGACACGATCGAGTCGTCGAACACCGAGGAACAAGCTCAAACCGATGCACCTGTGCGCTTCATAAACTGACATCGTGCGACGTCGCGAGACATCGAATTCGCTCGGCGCCGGTCACGATTCCTCTGCGAACGCGAAACGGAAGAGGCATTTCTCTGCCTCCAGAAACTCTTCTCATTGAGCATTCTTCCACAACGATCTCGACCTCCAGAAACGATTCCGATCACCATACGCGAACCGTTTTTGTGAGCGCGCGATCCCCGACTCGATGCGAGACACGACGGGACGAGCGAACCGTCTCACCCGAGAAACGAATCGAGCCAATCGGTACGCACCGGTAGGAAATCTCCTTTTATCAGTCGCGATCGGTACGCCGCATCGTATAAGCGTTTACAAAAAGGCGGACGATCGACTCGTCGTCGGCTCGGAGGAACGTTTATACGCGTCGTCGAGATATTCTGCGAATGAAATTCTGCTCTGCTCGCCATGTGTCGCCCCGACGCAGCGGTTCACACGGCTGTTACCTAATATCTGTTGAATCGTGCGATACGCGCGGAGCTCCCACGGTTTTGGTTCACGGACGACGCGCAATTCGGGCTTTCCGAGAGTCTCGTTCTGGAAATCGTAATTTCCCTCGTGTTCGCGTGCCACTGGGATCGATCCGTGAATCGCTTAGCCGACGAAGATTGGACAACTTCCAAAGGGAATAATTTACTGGCACCGAGAAGAACGTTACACGGTCGTCCGGTATCAGCGGAACCGATGCCCGGGCGCGATCACGAAGATGCTTCGAGAGACTCACGTACGCCGATACTAGTTCGCGTTTTCGCGACGTGGGTCACGTTTCTTCGTGCGCTATTTTCTTTTCCATAAATGCATAAACATGCTACATTAATAATAGCGCGACGTCGTCTCTCTCGTTCGAACGAAACTGACGAGTAAACCGCGAACTCGACGCGTTCGTCATGAATGAATAATACGAACAAATCCCGACGTACGACTCATTCTTTTTAATCAACAAAAAAGCGATAAATTCGTGGTCGATGGTTCGGTGCTTGCACTTTGTCGCGTTCAATTTCGTACCGATTCAGAAGAAACGCGAAGTGGTTTCACGTCAGAAGCGACACACCGATCGATGTGTTCAGTCGCTCGTCGGTTCGACGCATTCTCCTGCTAGGTGCACGCAAATTCGATCGTGAATGAAACTCGATTACCGTCCACGATGCAAGAACGCATTTAGGTCTCGATCAGGGAAAGGGAGAGAGCACCTATGCCACTCCTATTGCATTACCGTGTTCCATCATAGGCAAATTTCCAAAGTAAATTGCCAGACCGTAGAGTGTAGATCATGCGATAGAGACGGGTACGAACGATCGCGACGCTCCGATCGAGACAGCGGCGCTG